TGCACTTGATTTGAAGAGAGAGAGAGAGAGAGAGAGAGAGAGAGATGAGAAAAGGGAGACGAGTTGGTTGGAACCTTTTTACATTCTTTGTTAAATATCTGTGGTGGAACAAACATTAAAAAAGCTAAAATGGCTTTAGTTTTAGGAGGGTAAACAGCAAATGAATATGAAGTAATAATATTAATAATGCAGTAATAATATAAAATATTTTTTATTTTGATTTAGCTCATTTATTTTCATTTTTGATTTTAATATTAGTTTACTTCTTAGTAATTATATGTGCTTTTGCTGTTTTTAGTTTATTTAATTAATTTAATATTTGAACTGATTTTATTTTAGTTAGTTGCCAGGGCAACATTTCTCATTTTTGTTTAGGTTAACTTGAAGTATAAAAATAACTGAATAAACTAAAACTGAACAAAAACTACAGTTTATAGACAAATTAAAATAATGAAAATAATAAAAACACAGCAAAATTACTAAAACTTTAACTAAAATTAAAATGACCAAAAAATATAAAAATTAAAATATAATTCTAAATATGAAAAAGAAATATAATAGTATATCAATGACACTAAAATAACACTGATCTAGACAAAACACACATTTGAGTAATTGAAATCAAAACCTCAACTAGCCCTGGTCTCCTTACCTTTATAAAATAGTATAAAATGGGCCCCTGAAATTGATACAAACAGGTATATCTAGATTTTTTTTGTTTGCTTGTTTGTTTTGTTTCGTTTTCTGTGTACATTGATTGATTGCTTACCAAAAATGACAATCATAACTGTTAGGGTTATTCATACAGTACCATGTTTACCTAAGTGTAAGCAATCTCAGACTGGAAAGAGACGTTACGGTTGTGGCATGTGGGGAAGGCCACACCTTTGATGAGACCTGGACCAGATCCAAATTTGCATTCCCATGCCATTCTATAAGCAGACAACAATGTTTAATACAAACTAGGGGTGGGCGAAATGGCAAAAATATCATATCACGATTTTTTCATGATTCTTTGACATGCTGGTTTTACTATTTTTCAAGTTGTTTGAGCAGTAAAGCCAAACTAATTTCCAGATTTTAAAAACAAAGCCTTACAAGGTTACAAAATATATTTAAAAGAGAGTGGCAGATATTTAGGCCAAAGTGGGCGAAGATAAAACTCTTTGTCATTAAAAAATAAGAACAAAGACACACATTACAAATACACAAAATATAGAAATAAAATGAACAATGCTTTATTTCTCAGGTACAGTAGGTGTATTTAGAAGTAGAATTCAAGAAATTGGATTAACAAATACAAAAATAAAACACTAAATACATCAATTATACATGATCAATTATAAATATAAAGCAACTGTATTAAAGTTCTTGTGTTTTGTTGTTTTATTAACATTAAAAGGGATAGTTCACCCACAAATTAATTCATTTACTCACTCTCAAGTTGTTGTTGTTGTTTTTTAACCTGAGTGAGTTTCTTTCTTCGGTTGAACATAAATGTTATTTTGACAAATGTGGGTATAATTAAACAGTTGCTGGTCCCCAGTGACTTCCATAGTAATTTTTTTTCCTACTATCAGATTCAATGTGGACCAGCTTCTGTTTTGGTTACCCACATTCTTTAAAATATCCTCTTTTGTGTTCAGCACAAGAAAGAAATTAATACAGGTTTGGGACAATATGTGAGTGAGTAAATAATAACAGAAATTAAATTTTTGGGTGAACTATCACTTTAATGACAGTCGGCAGCATGTTAAGTATTGTCCCTTTAAGAGCTGCACGCATCCATTTTTCTCTCAATTGTTTACTTAACCAATTGAGTCTGTTTGTAAA